GCATGCATGCATCCAACAAACAAACCGCGTGCGTGTGTGCTTCTTGTCTCCGCTGGATATATCACCCAACCAAGTGGCATTGGAGGCGGTGCCATGCCTTGCGCCAGTGTGCTGCATCGGCGGCGGGGTAGAACTGCTGTGCATGCGATGTATCTCTACTGCTGCTGCTGTATCCATGTAGACTATCACCATGTAATCGTGTTTGGGGTAAAGAAATACGGCGCCCTCTCCTCTCTCTCTCCTCCGGTTTCCGACAGCACCTACATACAGCAGTACAGCAGTCAGTGTAGTTATCGGTCACTCATCACATTCTTCACGTGAGGGTTACGCTGCTGTTGGGCACTAAACCTTTGTGGCACCATGGGGTGCGTGCGGTTGACCCATGTGGGAACCTGTTGGTGCGCAAACAAACGTGCAAAAGTTCAAGTGCGGGTGTCGTGTGTGTGTGTCTCATGACTCATCGGTCTATTCGGTCCCGGCAGAACAAAAAAAAACGCGGAAGATCCAGAAAGAACCCAGTCACGAAAGGGTTAATGTCAGGAGAACCTGCGTTGAGGACACCGCAAGACGGATAACCTGTACCAAGGCAGCGCTCCGCACTGCGTTATTCGAGGGGACAAGTACTGGCCATAATAGACAATGTACGTACAATCACCGAGAGACTCAACGGTTGGAGAGGCTACCACAACAGCAGTAGACGAAGGATGTGTGGAACGCGCTTGCAATCAGTGCAACTATGAAGTACCGTCCTTACAGCAGTAGCGCCACAACATTCAACATTCGAGGGGGAAAGCGCTGGCGTTTGTTTTTCTACGCCATCAACAGCTCGCTCACCAATTCGCTCCGTCCACCATCATCATGCAGTAAGGGAGTATGCTCCGCTCCGTCACGGATCGTGTCTGGTTGATATCTGGGGGGGCAAACAAACCAGCACAGCAGGCAGGCGAGGAGGTTGCCTTGGACATTTGGCAGCATCAGCAGAAACAGCCCCACCTTTGAATGTGTGACCAGGGGCGGCAAAAAGGCCTTCGTATTTGCTTCCACACGCTACTACTGCTGTCACCCTACCACAGGCGGCTGCTGCTGCCACCCGTTAGGGAATATACACCGGTCCAAGCACACAAAGACAGAAACGAAGAGACACGAATAGACAAGTCTACACCCGACGGCGCACCGCGTGATGCTTGCGGAGAGTTGCTGCTCGATGGCCCACTCACCCCAAACATCCCGGGCTGGGCTGGTGTTAAGCAGTATCGAGGCAATGGATGCCAGCGTCCCCACCACGCCCGCCATCGTGGTCGTATTTGGTTGGTACTCTAGGTTATGTCATAGCATAGGGCATCTGCATGGCATAGCAATGCAGCGGAGGAAGAGACAGAGACGGGGGGGGGGGGGGGGGGGGGGGGGGCAACTTTGCTAGGCATAAGTACACACCCGGGCGCGGGGGGGGCTCGTCGTATGTACAT